ATCATCATCATTTAGAGCCTATAGTGTTCCACTGTTGGACAAAGGCCTCAGCATGCTTTTTCCATTGTTTCCTATCCTGAGCCTCAGATTTCCAGTTTGGCCAAGGTTTCTTCTTCCAAGACTTCCAGTAGTCATCTAATTCATCCCTCCATCGTTTGACCGGCCTTCCTCTTTTTCTTTGTCCATACCTTGGGGTCCATTCTGTAAGCCTGATTGTCCACCTATTGTCCTTCATTCTTTTGACATGTCCTGCCCACCTCCATTTCATTTCTTTAACTGTGAGCAGCAGTCCTTGACTTTGGTGTGTTCACGTAACCATACATTTGTTTTCCGCTCTCTTGGACTGATGTTCAACATAATCCTTTCCATCTTTCTCTGAGCTACTTGTAGCTTGTGTTCCATGGAGGCATTCAGTGCCCAGGTCTCTGAGCCATAGGTGATTGCCGGCAGCACACATGCATTGAACACTTTCTTTTTCAGGCAGGTAGGAAGGTTGCTCTTGAAGATGTCATTGTGCTTCCCATATGCTGCCCATCCTGCTTTTATCCTTCGTTTGATTTCTTTCTCCAGTGTTCGATCCCTAAGGCTGAACCGTTGCCCAAGGTATATATACTCTTCTACTGCTTCTATTTCTTTGGTATTGACCTTCACTGTGCAAGGGGTGGTTAGTGGTCCAAACATCACCTTTGTCTTGCTGGTGTTCATCTTTAGCCCACTTTTTGCGCTTTCATCTGCTAACGCCTGCAGCATTTCTTCGAGGTCTTTTGCATCATCTGCTACTATTATGACCTAAGGTGATTGAGCTTGGTACCATCTATGTTTATGCCCTTGTCCTGCCAGTCTAGCTCCCTGAATATACGTTCCAATGCTGCTGTGAACAGTTTAGGAGAGATTGTATCTCCTTTGCGTCGACTTTCTTGATCCTGATCTGGTGGTCTTGTGCAGTTTGACTGTTACAGAGCTATCGGTGTATATGTCTCTGAGGACGTCTATGTATCCATCTTCGATCCCTAGATCTTGCAGGGATGCCAGTATATACTGGGTTTCTACTGAGTCGAAGGCTTTTTCATAATCAACGAATGCTACACATAGTGGAATGTTATACTCTAGAGATATCTCTCTTTGAGCTGGTTGATAGTGTGCATATGATCGGTAGTGGTGTACTGGCCTCTGAAACCTGCTTGTTCCTTTGGCTATGCTTCATCTACTTGTCTTGTTAGCCTTTCAGTCAATATTTTGGTGTAAATCTTGTACGAGTTAGAAAGTAGGCAGATGGGTCTGTAATTCTTGATGTCTTTTCTATTGCCCTTTTTGAACATTATGAACAATATAAACAATATAAATTATCATATTGAGAGAAACATTGAAATTAAAATTAAAAGAATGCAATCTCCTAGATCCCCATACAGGGAAACACAGCCTATTACATTAAGTTGGGTTGGTACAACTCTGTGTGAGATCCTTATACCTTTTCTGTGTGACTTGCCTTCTTCAACACCTAGGAGGTAATTAATCTGAGCACACATGCAAGTTCAGTACTCTGTAGCCGCTGGAAGAGGCATGTCATTCAGTTATGCAGATTACACTTTACAAGAGTCACTGCAGAGTGGGACCCATCCTTATACAGATATATTATTTGTTAACATCAGGGAAAGGTAATCATCATATGTTCATATATAGTATTGCTATTTTCTTTGTTAGCTATGAACATTCCTGCCATGTACCATTTAAAAGAAGAGGTATTTATTATATTTAATTTTAGATTTTATTAAAATTTATGTATTTATTTTATGTTTTCCAATCAATGTTCACTGCTTCTGATTACTTGCATATTTTAATTTATAATTACATCACCCATTTTAACACATGAATTTAGGACATTACATAATCACTTGATCAAAGTGCATTTTGATTATTATTATTTATATCAGCTAATTTTAACATGTAAATGCTGATTTCAGCAACCGGTTCATCCAGTAGAAAGAAGAAGGTGCATACATCATCACAAGGTATATAAACATTAATATTTACATTTGTGTTTGAATAAGTAATGCTTTTAAATCATTTGTTCGGGGAGTTTATACCTATGTATATAGTGTTTGCTTACAGCCAGACTTCATCAGGGAAATGAGGGCTGTGATAGGCATTACCATCTATGGGCAGTCAGGTGTGCTTTTCAGTCTATTATTGGTTGAAACATATGAGTTAATTATTTCTATACCTATTAACAAATTAAAATTTATTGGTAATTTCAAACATATAGCTTATGAAAGCGTTCATCATTGTCAGATGGTCGGCTTTTCATTTTTGTTGCTGCAACTCAACAGGAATATGTTCATTTATGAAAAATTATCACATTGATTTAAAAGTACAGTATCTGTAAAATTTAGAATATTGAAAAGATTTAGTTCTTATTATATCATTTTTATATTTAATTATTAATTACATACATCTTCAAATTTCAGATGTAAGTGAAAGGCTTTACAACGTAGAGAAGGATCGCTTAGCATTAGAGGAGGAGAGGTTTAAAGTAGAAAAAGAGCGTTTACAACTAGAAAGGGAGAGATTAGAAATTGACAAAAGTAACTAAGTGTTATTTGAAAAAATAACAGAATACTGTGAAATGAAGTTGGATGTACTGAAGTGCGAGTCTCTTGTAGATACTTACCAGTGAGTGCATCTTATTGGGATCATGATATTTTATGTTTTTGCCAAGACACATACTAGCTGTATGTTACTGTACATCACTGTACTAGCCATTAGTTGCATCTGTTGTTGCAGTCATCATCCCTGTACTGTGAACTTTCACATATACTTATATTATTTTAATTTTGTATTGAATATGCTGTTGAGTATTATGTTATATTGCATCAAAATTGGCAAAATCCCTATTGTGGACCCTGCCACCACAAATATAATGAAAAATAAAACTTTGTTACTTATTTTTTTACGTACAAGAATGATTATAAGGATATACATGCCAACTTGACTGTATTATTTTTTTCCTTTAATTTATGCAATTTCTTTTTGATAATTTTTCAGTATTTTTCATTCAGTAATTTTCAATATGTGAATCAGTTTGATCATTCAGTGCTGTATTTTAGACTAAGTTTATGACCTCGGCAAAGAACTGGAATTTGTTACAAATCTTTCAGAAGGGATAGTTTTCATTTGCTTTTGTCCTTGAAAAGGACTTTATTTTTATATTGTACTTATTAACTTTAATTTAGATAAGGATATACATTTAGGAAATTGTTTATAATATTATTTTTATATTTTATATTTTCATAATGTTATTATTTCATGAAATAAAAAATTTATGTAAAACATAACTTGACCGTCTGTTTTGTTTCTTACATAAACTTTAAAGTGATTTTATTTTGCCCTATTTGCATTGAAAGTGTACTTCAAAAGTAATTGACTTAAAGTATCAGTCTTTTTGATTCCTGGAATTTGTTATTAAATTTCCTGCATGAACACTAGCTGTTATATTAAATCAAACCTGTACACCTTTGTCATTTTGTACACTTATTTTAAATTTCAGTTCTTAGTATTATATGCAAAATATAATAAATTATGACATTTTAAAGAGAACATCAATTTTCATTATTTTGTTTAATGAAACAATAATCCATATTCATCCCACAATGATTCATAAATGATCCAACTGAGAGTTAGAGAAAAATACCAGGAGAATATGGAAGTGTGTGTGAGAGACTCAGAGATGCTGTGCTAGAGTTCCAACCTCATCTATTTCATAAGAGATCCTGCATGACTTCAGAGAATGTGCTCAAACTGACTCAAGGGATCAATGAAGAACCTTAAAGAAGACTGACCACGAGGTCTTAAACACTGTCACAAGTGCTTGCTACACCAATTATTGCTCTTTACATGTAGTCTCTACTGGGTCAGATCAAAGTGGTGGCAGAGAGACAACCTTGATCTGGCATCATTGTCGGTATCCATGCTGTGTCCATGCACTGCATATCAAGTTCCCAAGTAAAGAGGGAGATGTTAGGAGAGTTAAACATATATTTGGCTTCCAGAAGGTCATCAGTGCCATCAGTGCTATTCTAGCTCCAATAAAAATTCCATCCTGATTCCTTTGATGTGAATATGTTTGTTTGCGGAAAGTTTTCAGTGTACAAATGTAGTTCCAAGGTGGGCTGGCTAACAACCCACGACAGCTTCATTTTCTGAGAGTCAAAATACAGAAGTGTTGTTGAAAAGGCTCTTGGTGTACCATAAGGCAGATTCATGTGGCTGCTGAGTTGAAGATCCTGACATCGAGGCAGGTGTACATGACTAATGTGTAAAGAAGTTCCTGATTATTTCTTCCCTGGTCCTGAGACCAGAGGAAAGTACAGGACCAACAAACACACATTGTCATGAACACTTGCATCAATGTCAGGATCTTCATCCTCATGGTGCGGGTCGTTGTTTTCCTGACAAAAATTGTGCAGGATACAACAGACTATGATGATTCTCCCACACATCTCTGGGGTGTACCAGAGATGGCCACCATTCTTGTGCATACATCTAAAATAAAGAAGATATTATTGTATCAGAACATTGGATTATATTTCTTACGGGAAACAATAAATCACAAATTTGTCTTTTTTTTTTTTTTTTTTTTTTTTTTTGACTAGTTAACGTTATTATGATTTATAACCAAGACTTTTGAAACAAAATTATTTGCCAGGTTTTATAATTATGTGTGGGTGTGGGTGAAAAGGGGAGTCACCCTATTGAATGTAGGTTGGGAACTGATTGATGAAAGTAAATACACAAACTTAGTTAATGGGTGTTATCACAATAGGGATTAGATTTATATACCATAAAGGGTAAACATACCTGAATCTGCCTTTAGTTACACCAAGTGCCTGTTCAACAACACTCCTGGTTTTCCTTTGGCTCTCAGAATAGGCTTCTTCTTCTGCAGTGATCGGGTGCAGGATTGGTGTCATCATGAGAGGAGACAGAGCATACGCACTGTCTCCGAGTAGATAACTCATTGGCAGCATTCCTGCTTCGTACATCTCATGTATGGCACATTGGTTGAAAAT